GTCCCAAGGCTCCCAGCCAGCAAACAGTGGAGCAGAAGGGAAAATCAAGCGCCATCAGGATCCACTTGGCAGCCTGACCCTCTGTGCTCCTCCGCTGGGAGATGAAGGTGATTGCAAAGGCTCACAGGGAAGTTTCGTTCTTACCTTCAGTCTCTTTCTAACGCCCCTTCTCCTAACTGCTGATCCTTGAGTTTTGAATGTTATGACGAGGATGCACGAACTCGCCCCCAGCATCCTTGATGCTCTGGGATGGGTCTGGCTAGGCTGTGTGTCCGTGTTAGCAGCTTGGAACTGCACGTATCCTCCAGCCACACCCCAGAAGACGTCAGTGGGCTGGCTGCAGCTCCCCTCATAGGAAACGGTCCGCCCCAGACAGAAATAGATGTTTATAAATTGGGCTCAGAAATCCCTGTGGCCCCAGCTGGTGTTAGACTGCTCATCTGCACCACTCACTTCCTCAGTGGGCAGTAGGTCTTCTCAGGGCACACTGTGGAGCCCTGGCCTGTGTGTTCTGTGCTTGCTGGGGACCTTTTGGTGTCTCCCTTGAAACAGAAGAGGGCTGGACACAAGGCATGGTCTGTGCAGGGTTCGGGGAGCTTTTCTGGCTTCAGCTGGACTTAGGTCAAGGAACCTGGGGCCCAAGACAATGATCTGGGCCCTGGTCAAGGGCGTCTCCTGTGTCCCCTTGTCAGCCTGACCAAGCTCATCTTATCTGGATGTCTCAGATGGCCAAGGAACAACTGAGGTTTATGGTTTGGAGTTTAACCCTCAGTTTCCTTCACACTGGAGGCTTGCAAGTGCCTGAGTTGCAAGGTGTCACATAACAAGGCACTTCTCTGCAAGGGCCCTTGCCCATCCAGCCACCCTCACACTACATGCAAAGCCATCTTGCAGCTGACCACAGGAATGATTATTTTTTGGTTTTCCTTTACCTGATTTTACTAAGCGCTCAGAGCAAAGGCTTCACACTGTTGCACCACTTATATATGTTGGACTAGTCTCTCACCTTATCTCAGTAAAGGTATTTGCTACAAAGTGGTGAAGACAATGTTAATCTGTAAAATGAGGTCTGCCATCCTACTTTGCAGGGCATTTCTCGATCTGAATTGAGCTGCTTCTGTGCAAATGTGTTTGCTCATCTGTCCTGTTTCAGAAAAGCCTCCTTCTCAGGTTGCAAATGCAGGGACTGAGCCCATTTTTTGAAGCCTGTATTTCTTTTTTTTTTTTTTTTCTTTGATTTTTCTTTAAATTTTTTTCTTATTGTACTTTAGATGAACGTTTACAGAACAAACGGTTTCTCGTTAAACAGTTAGTACACATATTGTTTTATGACATTGGTTAACAACCCCACAATATGACAGCACTCTCCATTCTCGAGCTTGGGTTCCCTATTACCAGCTTTCCTGTCCCCTCCTGCCTTCTCGTCCTTGTCCCTGGGCTGTTGTGCCCCATTAGTCTCATTTTGGTTTATGGGCCTGTCTAATCTTTGGCTGAAGGGTGAACCTCGGGAGTGACTTCATTACTGAGCTAAAAGGGTGTCCGAGGACCATACTCTAGGGGTTTCTCCAGTCTCTGTCAGGCCGGTAAGTCTGGTCTTTTTGTGTGAGTTAGAATTTTGTTCTACATTTTTCTCCATTTGTATCCAGACCCTCTATTATGATCCCCGTCAGAGCAGTCAGTGGTGGTAGCCGGACACCATCTAGTTTGATGGACTCAGTCTGGTGGAGGCCGTAGTAGTCGTGGTCCCTTAGTCTTTTGGACTAATCTTTTCCTTGTATCTTGTTTTCTTCATTCTCCCATGTTCCTGAAGGGGTGAGACCAGTGGAGTGTCTTAGATGGCTGCTCACAGGTGAAGCCTGTATTTCTTTATAGCCGCTACCCTGGCTCCTAGGATGGGTGCCTCTAATTCCAAAGATAATGGCGTGTTTGAGTGTGAGGGAGCTTGTCTGGTCGTGGGGCTGGGTCTTTGCTCAGCTGTCCACCTTGTCAGGTGTGTGTCTGTGTGGCCACCAGGCGAGGGAGGGAGGTCTGTGATTGAGGTGATCAGGTCGTGGCCTCCGGGTGCACCCTCCCATCTGGCCTCTGAGGCGTCAGCCTGCAGCCCTGGTCCCAGGGACACAGGGTGGGCTCCACCTACAGACTCTGTGTATATGAGAGGGAGACAAGGGCTGGGACCATGGTTTCCAGGGCTCTGTGGAGGGCAACGCTAATGGTGTCATGCAGACAGGGAAACTGAAGGCCTTCTGGTGCTGCTGTGAGCATAGAAGCTTCAGGAGTTCCCAGAACCAGGACATGATGCTCAGTTGGGTGGTGGTATTCCAGAAATGGGAGCCGAGTGACCATTAGGAAGACAGGCCTAAATTCCCTGGCACTGTGGAAGCCACAGGTGCTCCTTCTTTTCTTTGTGATTCTCTCGCTTCTTGTTCTCCTTCTCCCTCTCCTTTTCCTCCTCGGCCCCTTCCCTCCCTTCCTCCCTGCTGTCAGGACCCTCCAGCTCCCAGGCTTTCATCTCCTTCTTGGGTGACCCCCAAAGACCACCTACCGGCTTGGATCTCAACTCTAAATTCCAGGAGATGGACTCTGACTGGTCTACCTTGGTCAGGTGTCCACACAGCCACCTGCTATTGTGGCCAGAAGGACAGGACCACAAAACACAAAACGGCTGCCAGGCCCCCTCTGTAGGTAGGAGGTTTCAGAGGAAGGGCGTGTGGACCGTGAGGTCCCTCAAAACATGGGTTCTAGAAGATGGGGACTTAGGCTTGGACCCAGGCTTCAACCAGAGAATGACCTGCAGACCATGGCTGGGCCACCCACCCGAGGTTGGGTGAAGAAGCCGCCCTCACTGGGGTGTGCATCCTTCCTCTGGGACACAGTTGGGAAGTGAGCGCTCAAGTCCCCTTAGGATTCCACAGGGCCCTTCTGTCACTCACGTCGCTGAGCTCTGTGTGGGCCGCTCTGCCCTCCAGCCTGCACATCCCCTGCACAGCACCTTCAGCTGGCATTTCCATTTACCACGTGGAAAGCTTCTAGAACTTCTGGCACCTTCTAGAGCCTGGATTTAGTCCTGCCCGTGGCCCAACTGCACGTTCTGCTCCCCAATTCTGTGGAGTTCACGAAATTAAAATAAACCTTGCCATTAATAATTATAGGCCATGTCTTCGTATAAAAACAGTAGGCCTTTCTTTACTTCTGCCTCCCCTCCCAAGTGTGTTTTGTTTGGGTGCGAACTACAGTTACCACAGGTAACCCATGCAGTTAAGAGCCTGGGCTTTTTTGTAAGCAAGAGCTGAGTTCAAATCCCAGCTCTGTTCTTACTATCTGTAGGACCTTAAGCAAGTCTTAACCTCCTTAAGTAGGGTTGCCAGATTTAGAAAATAAAAAACAAAAAACAAGACCTCCACTTAAATTTGAATTTTAGGTTAACAATGAATAATCCTTTAGTATAAGTGTGTCCCATACAATACTTAGGACACACTTATACTAAAAAAAAAATTTGTTCTTTATCTGAAATGCAAGTTTAACTGGACACCCTATACTTTATCAGAAAGCCCTATAAGCCCCATGTCTTCGTCCGTAAAGTGAGGATGATAAGTTAACTTACCCTTCATGGGGTTTTGTGCGGATTATATGAAGTAATGCAGGTAAGAATTGGCACAACATAAATTCTCAATATGTTAGACTTGGCTAATGTGCTCAGCTGCTAACTGAAAGGTTGGAGGTTCAAGTTTACCAGAAGGTCCTTCAGAAGAAAGACCTTGCTATCTACTTCTGAAAAATCAGCCACTGACAGTCCTGTGGAGCACAGTTCTACTGGACTGCAACTAGTATGTTAGACTTAATCCTCTTACATCTACTATATATTTGCCTTTGGCAATCTTGACTTATGCTCACTGCTCCTGGATAATTATTAATAGCATACACTTTTACGTTCAAAACTACCTTAGTTTTTGGAACAATAGAGAACATAGGATTTCCTGAGACTATCGCCCTGAGACACTCTCTAAACCTCGAACTGAGCCTATTCCCCGAGATGACCCTTTAACGAAATAGCAGAGTGGTATACAAAATAAGGGATATTACCCGTAAGATCGATGCTCTACTTAAAAACCATCATTATAAGACCAAAAGGTCAACAACTGCTCAAAAGCAAAGATGAGAAGATAAGGGGCAGGGAAACTAGAGTACCGGAAATGGAACAAACAGAACACAATTGAAGAGAATGTTGACACATTGTGATAAATGTAACTAATGTCACTGAACAATTAGTGCAGAAATAGTCAAATGGGGACCTAACTTACCGTGTAAGTTTTTACCAAAAACTCAATAAAATTAAAAAAATCTACCCCAGTTTAGATGATAAATTGCAAGGTTAAGTCAGGTGTCATAGTGTCAATTTGGACTCTTAGTGACCTTTCTTGGCTGGAATCTTTAGGGGAGCAATTGGAGCTAGATGGGTTCAAACTGCCAGCCTTTCTGGCTAACAGCCCAGCACTTAACTTTTTGTGCCACCAGAGCTCCTCAGGTATAACCATTGCCGTCCAGTTGATTCCCACTCATAGCAACCCTATAAGGCAGAGTAGAGCTGCCCCACAAGGTTTCCATGTAGCGGCTGGTGGATTTGAACTGCCAGTCTTTTGGTTAGCAGCCAAGCTCTTAACCACCACACCACCAGGGCTCCCCTCTGGTGTAGGGATCCAACAGTTTCCTCAGTGTAGTTGAAATGTTTTCCTCCATTTCAACTACCAGATGGCACTGCAGGGTGATAAACTGAATGAGAAAAACATGTACACAAAATTTTACTTTAATACCATCCCTGGGCTGGTTACATACACATACAGA